TATATATTATATATAAAAGAAATGAATACTTCTATTCAGCAAGGATGCATTAAATTGATCAAAAGTGACAGTTAACAGTTAACATTTATATTTCAAATAAACGCTGTTCTTTTGAACTGTTGCACAAAAATATTAAGCAGTGCAACTGTTTTCAACATTGATAATAGGAAATGATGCTTGAGCCCCAAATCAACATATTAGAATGATTTCTGAAGGATCATGTGACGTGTGACACATGAGACTGGACTATGTGCTGAAAATTCAGCCTTGCATTGTAGGAATAAATTTCATTTTAAAATGTATTAAAATAGATAAGAGTTATTTTAAATTGTAATAATATTCACAGTAGTACTGTTTTTTACTTAATTTTGACAAAATAAATTCAGCTTTGGTGATTGTAAAGCCTCGTACACACCGGGACGATTATCGCGGGCGCTTATCGCCGATATTTTTTCGACGCGTCTTTTGTGTTCATACCCAAGCAATTTTCGCAGGCGATGAGCCGAGTGACCGTGCAAATTCACTCCCTGACATTAGATGGCGCTTAATGAAAAACAGAAATACCCCGGTACACATCGACTCCTATTTGATCTGCAATTCCTCTCCAGAACAACTCCCTCTTATCGAGATTTTTGTAGTCGCTGTCGTGTTTGTCATAAAGCCCTTTGTGTTCAGACACCAATGAGACCAGCAGCTCTACATTCATCTTGCCTCGATGCATCTTCTTGGTCTACTTACTTTCGTCGTTTTGTGCTTGAGTGCCACCAAGTCGTGTTTTACTGTAACTTCAGCAGCTCCAGGCACATGAACAAAAGCGCCAATCTCATTGGTCTGCCAGTTTTTAACGTGGTGCGTCAAACCAAAAAAACGAGCCTGAGGCATTTTTAAAAAAATTACGCTTTTATGCCTCGTGTTTTGCGCGTCGGTGTGCACACTCATTAGCCGAGTGAACGTGCAAATTCACTCCCTGACATTAGATGGCGCTTAATGAAAAACAGAAATACCCTGGTACACATCGAATCCTATTTGATCTGCAATTCCTCTCCATAACAACTCCCTCTTATCTGTCGCGTTTGTCATAAAACCCTTTGTGTTCAGACACCAATGAGACCAGCAGCTCTACATTCATCTTGCCTTGATGCATCTTCTTGGTCTACTTACTTTCGTCGTTTTGTGCTTGAGTGCCACCAAGTCGTGTTTTACTGTAACTTCAGCAGCTCCAGGCACATGAACAAAAGCGCCAATCTCATTGGTCTGCCAGTTTTTAACGTGGTGCGTCAAACCAAAAAAACGAGCCTGAGGCATTTTTAAAAAAATTACGCTTTTATGCCTCGCGTTTTGCGCGTCGGTGTGCACACTCACATTGGCGCCCTTTGTTTAGTCACGAGGTGTTAAACGTCGGTGATAATCGTGCGCTATATTCATCCCGGTGTGAACAAACCTTAAGATTTTCAACAACATGAAAAATTAATAAATCTTTCAGACCTCAAACTTTTGAACACTGGTATACAATTAGGGATGTAACGGTATGAAAATTTCTTATCACGATTATAGTGACCAAAATTATCACGGTTATCGGTATTATCATGGTATTGTTAAAATGTGCTGGAGGTAAACCTCACATTTCAGCCTTTAAATAAAGAAAATATACAAGTCAAAATGATAATTGATTAATAAATGATTATATGTATTTTATCTGCTCCATAAATAATTCTAGATAACTTATCTGAACTTTTCATCAACCGGTCAAAATTTACAGAAGGGCATGCAAATTCTGTCCATTTTTGTCCAGACAGAACTGCACACAGACTGAATGTAAATATAAGTCTCTGTAAATCCACTCTCTGACAGCAGGTGGTGCTTATGGAAAAGCTGAATTACAGCTGTTTCCCGTAACCGCCGTGGACAAAGCAGTATTGCGATTAAGAACACTTCCTTTAGGTATTACATGGCGCGAAGATGAAAACAAAATGCCATCGAATCGTTTCTGAAGACAGTTAGAACCTTCAGAGGTACATTCATATAATTAATTCATTCATATATTCATTTGTATAATTCCCTTAGCATTCTTTTAAAACCTCCCAGCTTTTCCGCCCTGTTTTCACTCAAAACGAAACTACTCTGCTGCTGTGCGCACGTGAGACTGTTACTTAAAACTGTGCTTTATGCTGGACAGTATTTATTTATCATGAGTTGTTCAAATCGCGGTAATCTAATACGGTTTTAATGATAATTAAAAGATGAAACGGTAATACTAACCGCAGGGAATTTTATCATGATTTATGGTCAAATTGTTACATCCCTATATGCAATAAAACCCACCTATTAATTCCAATTAATTTAATCTTCTATGCAAAAATTTTATCTAAAGTTTTAGATGCTATCATCGCATTGATAAACGTAGTCTCTGTCCAAACATATGAAAATATTAATGTGCTAGATGTAC